GCGAGGGGCGGGGTACACCCTGGACAGGTCGTAAGTCCTAAGCTAAACATTTAATACCTAAACTAAATATTTAACTTGCTAACTAAATATTTAGTTCAGACCTAAATACTTAAATTGCAAGTTAAATATTTAGATCAGCGCTAAATATTTAGTTATCAAATATAATATTTAGTTTAGAAATGAAATGTTAAGTTTTGAAATTGAATAATTAATATACACCAAAATATTCAGTTTACAAACTAAATATTTAACTTGCAAGTTAAATATTTAGTTTGTAAACTGAATATTTAGCTTGTAAATTAAATATTTAGTTTGGAACTTTGACATTTATAAATGTATGAATAACTGTGAAAATTTGACTTTGAATTATTATTATTTTTTTTTTATGAAAGGCTAAAAAAACCAAAGTATTGCTGTTAATTTTTGACTGTGTAACTTTACAAATGGCACCCCATAGAAATGCCCCACGAGCCTCAGGGTTGAAACTGAGGCACTGAGACTCATTTTGACCCAAAGGCAGCATGAGGATTAAAAATGCCAAGAAATGATGCGCGCTTTAAGACTTGTTCAAGTGATTAATTCAAGAAATTATAATTAGGCTGAATTTAAACAGCCTGAGTATTTTAGTTGTTCGGCGGTTTTAAATCCTGTTAACACGTTTAATCCTCTGGTGTGTTCAGGTGACCCACCTTTTGCCAACATCACGATGACCGAACTTCTGCAGCACCTCCAGAGAGGAAAACACCTGAAACGGCCACCGGCCTGCTCCGAGTCTCTGTAAGAACAGCAGAACACGCTCGTTAAGCAGAACAGGAACTGATTTTCGTTTAAACATTATTATTTTATCGTTTAAGCTCTTGAATACACACGTGATGTCAGGTGTAAACTGAATTTCTGAACTTGTAAAAAATTTAAGTTAAATTTAACAGGATTTTTAGGTGGGTTTAATTGTTTAATTGGTCTTGACAACATATAAAACCTAGATGGTTTACAATATGTAAACATTTAAATAAATTACTAACACTTTAAAGAAATCAGCATCTAGGACACTCTGCTATAACGAACTGTAAATATTTATGAATACAATTCAAATACTTTAATTCACAAATTGACCTTCAACAGATTCCTAATCCGTCTAATTTTTGCAGCGCTTCACTGTTTTACTCTGTTCTGCAGGTACTCCATCATCAAGTCCTGCTGCCACTGGACCCCCCAGCGGCGCGCCCCCCTGACAGAACTGATCCGAACACTTCAGGCAGGAGAGCAATCAGCCAATGGGAGCGCAGCTCTGAGAGTACCAGAACCACTCAACTTGGAGAGATACATGAGAGAGGCAGGGATTAGACAGGCGCATAACTATGCTGTGCTCTGATTGGCTGGGAGAGCCATCAATCAAGACTGCTGCTACACCACTAAACTGCACAGAGCTGCAGCAAAGAAGTTGCAGATATTTATATTTATTTGTATGGTTGGGACACTTAAGTCATATTACAGCACAATCACCTTGTATTTTTTTTAAAAGTTTTATTTTTTTTGTAAATATGTACATGGTAAAGTACGAAAACTTATGTAAAGAAAAATGCTGTTGCACTATTTTGATTTTAAGCTCAGTGTTAGTTTCTTCTTGAAGATCCATCCATTATCTTTACATGTACCTGCTCTTCCTTTCATCAGTGTGCGAGAGATGGAGTCCGCCATGGACACGTCTCAAGTCCATCATGGAGACAAATAATCACACCTGGGGACAGTTTAGTTATCAATGAACATAACATGCACGTTTTGGTCCATGAGAGGAAACTAGAGTACTTAGAGGTGTGCATAGGGAGAACACGCAAACTCCACCTGAAAAGGCCAGGAGGCGAACCTACGACCTTCTTGATGTGAGACGACAGCTCTAACCACTGCACCGCCCAACTCAGTTTCAGTCGACAACAATTTTACGTCTTTTACAATGAAATCGAGACGAAACGTTCAATAAAAGAATTCATTATTTATTTGCATTGCAGGAACAATTCCTTCTTTTCAAAGCATCTCCTCCACGATTTTGCAGTTTTATTTCCTGATTATTGCAAGCACAATTCTGAACACTCCTTTAAATAAAAATTAAAATAAAATAAAAAAAACATTTTTTGCAGATTCTTATGCAAGTTTGGGGACAAAAGTGCCACTTTTACTGTAGAATGAATAACAAAAGAACAAACGCGTTAACAAAAGTCGCATGAGTGTTAGAATTTGAAGCTCGCGTCCATTTTTGGTTTGAACCTGCTAATTTACAAACTCCAGAATCACAGGGAGACTGAAATAAACATCCAGGAATTATCCCCTTTTGAAAGAAATACTGTAACAGCTACAGACACGAACAACGAGGCCAAATATGTCTAACTAGAAGGTAAATATTGTTGGTAGTTACACACGATATGACAAAGTTATGAGGAAGACGGTGAGTTTTCTGCTACTAATTGGAAAAGGCAGCAAACGTCATTGCTTGGATTAACACTCGTAAAAAAGTGAGGACTGACGTGAAAGAGGGAATGATATGAAAAGCTGTTGAAAATAAACAATAAAAAATCTTCTAAATCTAGTGTAGAGAAAGAAAGGCCACGAGGTTCACAGAGAGAAAAAACAAACAAACATGATTAAATTTCTACATAAAAAAGCTGAAACGAAGAAGCAAACAAATGTGCAATTAAATATAAAAGGCATATTTTACACGTAACTACAGCCAAGATTGACGTTTTCTTATTCACACCATGTTTTTTCCTGTTTTCAGTCCGTTACAAACGTAGGTCCACTTGTTCTTTTCTTTACAGGCTTTCTCCAGGATGTGGTTTAAAAAACTTCAAAATAAAAGCTGCTCGGTTTCAACCTTCTCCAACAGCGTCTTTTTTTTTTTTTTTAAACTTTAAATGGCACTCCTTCACATACGGAGCAGCTGCTCGTACCGTTCAAATAAAACGTTCATGAAAAATAATCCGAAGGTCGAATTGTTTCAAGTGGAAACCGTTAGGGAGAAGCATTTCTGCTCGTCTTTACCGTTCGTCTGCTCTGCAGAGTTTAGAGCTCTCAGAGGTTTGATTTGGACTCGTGTGGCATTTCAGTACCCTGTACTCCCACTGTACCCTGTTAGCTGAAGGAAAACCACTTCAAAATACCAACAAAAAGCCACCAATAATACAACCCCGTTCAAAAAAACTTTGAATGTTTTGTAAAATGTAACAAAAACAACAAATACAATGATTTGCTAATCTCATTAACCCATATTTTACAGAAGAGGATTAGAGCCACAGTGCAATGATTTCCCCACTAAATTCTAAGATTAAAGGTTAGAAATCTGAGATTAAAGTCAAAATTCTGAGAGTAAAGTCAGAATTCTGAGAATAAAATCAGAATTATGAGATACAAATCAGAATTATGACATGAAAGTCAGAATTATTAGATTAATGTCCGAATTCTGAGATTAAAATCAGAATTATGAGATACAAATCAGAATTATGACAAGAAAGTCAGAATTATTAGATTAATGTCCGAATTCTGAGATTAAAGTCAGAATTATGATATTAAAGTTAGAAATCTGCAATTAAAGTTAGAATTCTGACATTAAAGTCAGTATTCTGAGAAAAAATGTCAGAATTATGATATTAAAAATCAGAATTGTGAGATAAAATCAGAATTGCGAGACTAAAGTCAGAATTATGAGATTAAAATCAGAATTATGAGATTAAAGTCAGAATTATGATAATTCTGATTTTAATCTCATAATTCTGACTTTAAAGTCAGAATTATGAGATTAAAGTCAGAACCCATCTATCAAATCTGTTGTTCGGCATATTGTTTTTGTACTACTAGTGCTTAGTTTATTCTGAGTTTAGCATATTTCTTAGTTCGTATCTTAGATCTTACCGTTTTTCTTTTACATTTTATACTTCTGTGGGATGTACCTGGGACCCTGTGTACACCATTTCGTTCCACCACATGAGATGAGAATGACAAAGAACCTGGACCAAACTCTGATTTTATTCTCAGAATTATTTTTTTTTTCTCAGAATAAAAATAATTTTTGCACCGTGGCTCTAATCCCCTTCTGTATTATTCACAATGGAATAGAGAGAGGACATTAATTATTTAAACTAAGTTATTGTACGTTTTTTTTAATAGTAGTTTCAAATTTTATGGCAGCACTATATCTCGAAGAAGTTGGGACCGGAGCAACAAAAGACGTTTTACTATAGATGCGTTTATATGGCCTCAGGTCATTATTAAAAGGGCTGGTTATAAAATGTGCAATTGTGAGTGTCTTAGAAGTAAAGATGGGAAGAGGTTCACTCGGCTACAAAATAAGACGCATTTCAAAGTAGTGGAACTGAATATTCACTTGTCTACGTTGGAAGTCAAAATAGAGAAATCATGTGATCTTTGGGCCTTCAAAGAATTCAAAATGTATTTTTCTTTCCTTAAAATGGTGCAAATCCTTAGTAATTACATCAAATGTTGAAAGTATGTTCCATTGTGAATAAAACTGGTTTTTATGAAATATACAAACCGTTGGATTCTGTTTTTACTTTTACGTTTTACAAAATGTCCCATTCTTGAGAAGTGAGTTGTAGAAAACAATGGCTTTTTTTAAAATTTAAACTAAAAAATTATAACTTTAGATTAATCACATTCTGTCAAACATATATAATCTTAGTGTTTTCATTCAAGTTATACCTAAAAACTAACTTTGAAACCATCTTGTACATATTCTCCAGCTACTTTAGTGAAACCCGTGCTTGCAGGAGTTTTCTTTGCACTTTCAGCTTTAAACAAAAATAAATTTATAACCAAACGCTTTCAGAACAAAACAGAAATGATCGTTTCATGTATGACTCGAGTAAACGCAACTTGAAATACAGGATTTAATAAAATGACTCCGATCAGCGCGACCTCAGCAGAACGGAAGAGGAGCAGGTTAAAGAATTACTGTTCAGGTTCTTCAAACATTGTTTTGAGATGTTTGGACAGCAAACCAAGTGTTTTTGTGTTTTCCAACATGGATTCAGGAGCGGACGTGAATGAAATGCAACTTTCAGGAACTGGTCAGGAGTCGGCAAACCAGCGACGATGGATTTGAGGGTTTTGCTTTGGAACTGAAGCGGACTTCATACATTCACCTGCAGGTCTGTCGTCACTTCAGAACCAGTTCCACGTCAGACCCGGGTGCTGAAATGGTTAATCGTCACCGCCGCTCACTGGCGGTGCGTTTGCAGAGACGTCAGTCTTTCAGGTTGTTGATGTGAGCGCAGATCTTCAGGGCTGGTCCTAACTTAATGTTCATGGTGGACATGAGATGCTCCTCCTTCAGCAGGAGCAGAGCCTGTCCGTCAATCTCCTGCGACAGGAACTGGGAGGCGAGCTCCTCACAGCCTGCCGGAAAAAGGAACATAAATAAATAAATAAATAAATAAATGAGGATGAACAGAGTAAAGATGATGATCTGACGGAAAAATACAGAAGTCAAAGAAATAGAAATAAGACTATGAGATTAAAACTGTTTTACCAGTTTGATGTCTTAAAGATGTTTTTTTTTTTTAAGTGATCAAACACAATTGACATAAAAAATAAAAATAAAATCTTGCCATGTTTTGCAATTAGAGCTTAACTACAAAAATCCTGCAGTCAGTTATTTTTATACAAGTAAAAAAATAAAATAAAAATATTAAAATATCTGTGGAGGGGGAGGAGCTAACGAAGTTTCAGCAGTGACTCTGACCCCGCTGATAATCTGTAATCTGCAGCTTCCGAGCTCAACTCCTGTGGAACTACTTCTTGTTAAACGCATCAACACTTGGCACAGTTGTACGCTTCTGCAGAGGTTCATCTATGAAAATGGCCGGCGAGGCTCATTGCTACAGTTGAATGAGACCAGATTTCTGATTTGAAGGTTAAATTACAGACTCTGGTGGTTTAAAGGCGACAAGATGGGACTTATTTAATTACCCGGTAAAGTTTTGTGCTTTAAAACAAATGCTGTAATCTGCTAGAACAAACAATGAAAACAGAAAATCCTCCAACCTTGTAGAGAAGAAATAAACCGTGACACTTCCTCCACACTCCACTGGGAGGGGCTGTTGGGCGGGCAGCTGGGCGCCGAGCTCTCCGTGTCCACCGGAGGAGGCGGCGGCTGGTGGCACGAAGCAGAGGAGGCGGGCGAAAGAGACGCGGCGTCATCTTCATCCTCCTCTCCGCTGGACTCCTCGTCTGAGTGGCTAGACTCTGAACGGCACTAGGGGGAGGAGAAGCACGACAATTCATCAACCGCTGGATTTATCCAGGAGCGTGCTCGTCTCAGACGACTCTCAGAAGAAATTATTGCTTTAGAAAATGTCACACGAACCCAAACTGTACATTTGGTCATTTTTAATTGTCAGGTTCTTTTCGGTTCACGGTTTATTTAATGAGCAACTACTCCCACCGACTCCTGCACGAACATATTCCACTATAACGTGTTTTAAATACTCAAACACCGATGAGCAAAGAGGGTGAGGTGGGATGGAGGATGACGTTAAAAAAATTAAACGTGCACAGTTTGGTTGAAGCCATTAGAGGGCGCTACAACCTATCCTAAAAAAACCCCAACCGTACATTAACTCAACAGTTCATGCTCAATAATCCAGGTACAAATCCAACAATGTTCAGTCAGGTCACCTGGACGGTTGGTTTTGTTGCTGAGACGTTTCGCTCTTCATCCAAAGGACTTCGTCAGTCCAAGGAGCCACAAACAAACTGGAGTCCCGCAAGTATCACACTCCCACAGTGAAGAAAAAAAAAACAAAAAACAGTTTGCTGGTGATAAGATGGTTTCTCTGGTCCGCCCTCTTTGAGGCAGTCAGACCCGACTGAACCTTGTTGGATTTGTACCTGGATTATTGAGCATGACCTGTTGCCGTTTTTAACCATTTTGGCACGATTGCCTCAGAGGAGTTGACGAGGGAGAGCGCGGGCCACAAAACCATCTTAACACCAGCAAACTGTTTTGTTTTTTTCCCCCCCACTATGGGAGTGTGGTACTTGTGGGACTCCAGTTTGTTTGTGGCTCCTCAGCTGAAGAAGTCCTTTGGATGAAGGACGAAACATCTCAAATAAAAAACGTTCAGATGACCTGACTGATCAAACATTAACGGTCATGGTACGTTTCCTTTTGCACATTCTAGGTGTTAATTTTTTTTTCCTCCACATTATGCAAATTAAGTGTGCACTGAAGTAACAAGCCAAATTAGGCCTTGGTCACTTAGGCACATTTTAAAAAAGATTTCCAAGCTGAAACTTTACTTTCTTCCTTTGCAATCAAACATAAATAATTAGCTGACAAGACGGGATAAAATACAAAATTTTCCTTTTAAAGGCGTTTCAAAACCTGTCAGCGTAAGGACATGCTGATCTCTACCGGGTGCATCATCAGTGATTTATTGCTGCAGCAAAAAGCTAAGTTTAAAAGTTGCACAACAAAAATTTAGAAACAGAGTTAAAATCATTAAAAGAAATATACGTTTCTTTCTCACCTTGGCAGGTATGGGCCTCCCTGCAATCTTTGCACTGGCTATCTCTGAGCTCGTCCTGCGGGGGACCCGCCTCCTGGCGATTCCTACTTCCTCGTCAGAGTTTGAGAAGTGGTCCTGGTCCTGGTCCCGACGCTGGTTGTGACTTTGCCTCACGGAGAAATGCTGCCTGAAGCTGACGTTGTACCTGGGGAACCAATACATACTGTATCGTAGACAAAGAGTGACATATACGGTACTGAAGCCAGGACGAGCAACACACAGTTTGTGTCTCTTTGCACCCCATGAGGGCAAAGAGACAAATGCAAAGCAGAAGCACAAAACAATAAAAATAAAAAAACATAGCACATGTTAACATACTGTTCTAAACAATGCAAACAAGGCATTGTTTATATAGTAAAACATATGATGTAATATTCACAACGCAGATAATAATGAGCAAATTCAACAATGGAGAACTTAACTCATACTGAAATTTAAAAAATTTACAAGCCAGTGTTTTTAGCAAAGTAGATGGAAATTTTTTCAACTTAAGAATAAAACTAAATAAATAAAAACACACAAAAAAAATTCATGCTGCGACATAAAACAGCTGAAAACAGACATTTCACACAGCTGGACCGGATCTTACAGCAGCAGCAGAAATTATGTCTTTAAATGTTTATTTTTTTTTTAATAAATCAGACTTTTATTTACAAGATTTTAAGAATCTGATTTCCAACTTTCAAGACTAAATGTGTGTACAGTAGTCCCTCGCTACTTTGTGGATAATAACTAATTAATTAGTATTACTCACATGATTGGGACAGTACTGGATACAGTACTGTACAGTAAAAAGTTAACGAAAAAATAAAATATTTCGAACAGGCGCCGCCATTTTGTAGTTTTCTCTCAGTAATCCTCCCTGTATTCCCTCTCATAAGGACCACGTTTCCCAGAAGGCAACAGGGCCCCTCCCAGAAGCCCAGTTTCCTTCAGCTGAAAAAACCAGAGGGAAAGTTTTGATTTGGTCGGCGCCCAGCGGATGCAGAGAAGCTGCACCGAGTCCACCGAACCAGACCAGAACTGGATCAGAACCAGACCCATCGGTGAACTTTCAGAGCTGGTAGCTGGTCCACAAGGACTTCTAAGCGGGGACGTGCGCGGAAGGTCCGGAGCGGTTTTGTAGCCCATCGGGACTTTTTTTATCCAGACACGTACTCAGTTTGAACATCTACGGTCCCACGCTGGCCAACAGAAGATAAAACATAGCATCCATACTTTGTGTTATTTCACTTATCGCGGGGGCGGGGCTGAAACGGACCCCCAGCGATAAACGAGGGACTACTGTAGTGAATAAAAAAAGTTTTTAAATACTATAGATATGCTGCATAATAAAGGTAAACAACCATTGGCAGCTTTGTAAAATATGATGTTTCAGCAACTTGGAGCAAAGTGACTCCCAACACGGCGTTCATCACATATCACAGGTTTCATGCATGTGAAGTACCTCTTGGCACAAGACATGGAGCAGAACCTTTTGGTGCCTCTGAACTGGCTGGCAGGAGCAAAGTTCTTGCAGTATTCACACTTCAGCACTGAAGGTAGAAGACGACAAACATTTAACATTAGATCATAAATAAATGTGTTGCATTATGGAAATGACTCAAACGTTTCATGCCGCAGACTGCACACCGTGTCTACTCGGGTCCTGGGAACAGTAAGGAACAAATCCTTTCTCCACCCCACACAGTTCATCAAACGTCTCCGTTTGCATAACACATATAAAAGTCCCCAGCTCTAATGTCTAAACATCAGTTCTGCCTACAACTTTTTAGGGATCAATAAAAGGATTGGTCATGCACCCCTCCACAGATTGAGAACCACTGTATTTTGGGAACAATACAACGTGCTGGTGAAGATTCTCCATAGAAAATCCTCTGCAATCACACAATAATAGATTCAGAAGCTTGTTCTTAATGCAAATAATTTAACAAATCGGAGAGAGCAAAGACTAAACTAGAGCCCCCCACCGATAGGTCCACAAACACCTATATCGACCCTATCGGTGATAATTGTCCCATTATGCGCCAATATAAGCACTTTCACCTCTAAAATGCTGGAACCAGCTGTAATTGTACAATGTATCCAGCAGAGGGCGCACAAAGGCTACTTTAAAGTCATGGCCGTTCACTTTAAATTTCACTTTCAGCACAGCCGAAGCAGGGAGCAATACGATGTAGCGTATTTTTGCTGAACAGAGCATGGCGAGTTTATTTGAACTGATCTGCAAAACAAATTCAGCAATAATAGATTCTCTTCAATCCTCCAACCTGCTCGTCATTAGCTATGTGCCTCTCAAGTTAGCCAACTAACCTTTAGATAACCTAGCACAGGCTATTGTCTTGTAAAACTTTATCCAGAACAATAAAGCTCCTGCAGAGGTAAAATATACATCTTTGTCGTCCTCAATGAAATATTTTTGTCTGAAATCTTTACTTTTCTGCAAAGAAAAAAAGAAACTCTGCTGCAGTCAATATTAAATAGACCTTCACCATACGTTGATTGTTTAAACAATGAACAGGGAAGGACACTTCTTTAATTTATATTTTTGTAACACTGTTATGTGCCTGGGGCACATTAGCCTTATTATTTTGTCCCTTTGGACAGTTTTGGGGTCGGCTAATCAGCCTTTAATTGTTTTGAGCTGTGGCCTTTTCTGCCCACCCATCAATATACTGGTTTCAGGGAGCTCGTCCTCTCAGACTCCCTCTGATTTGCTCCGTTCAGGCTCCCACATTTTTGGACGTTTTTCTTGGCCGACCTGGTTTTCCCAGGGCCCTTGTTTTTTCTTTGTCCTAGAGCTGTGGCCTGCTGTCGGTGGCTCCAGACACCTCAGGTAATTTTTGTTAACTTTTTGTACATTTGTTGTAACTTTGACCTGGTGGGACCGGTTGTCCTGTTTTTGCCCTTTTCTTTTGTAATAGGTGTTTTTTTTTTTTTTTTCCTAGTTTTAGTCTGGTACCAGCAGCGGCTTCGACGGCCCTGTATAGGGTTGGCCCGCTGCGGTACCTTTTTGTTCTGTTTGACCGGGTTACCAGGTCCAGCTTTAAGTTGATACTTTGGGTTTTTGTGTTCTTGGGTGGACAAGGGAATTAGGGGTTCATTATAATCTCTTTTTTACCTGCAAAAGCAGCAGCTTTAATAAACTGAATGTTTGAACCCATATTTGTGTCTGGTGTCCTCCTTTAATATATGTTGTGCTCTTGGTGGACGTAGCACACACTTTATTAGACCTTTATTTATACAGGCTAGTTCCCATTGAACCTCAAAGACTCATTTACAAAAGAGACTCGTTACATAGTTCTGATAAGATGGTACAGTGTCTATCAGCATCATGGTTCTGACTATCTCATTTATTATTAAACTTGATAACTTTATGGTGAACAGTGGAGGATAGAAAATGTGAACGCACATTAGGAAGACTGTTTTTATGACCAGTGTACCACTGGTAAACCTACTGTGGGAATACGACTAGTGCGGATCCGATTAGCTTAGCTTCATGGTTGCTAACAGCTGCACTAAATAAACACGCCCCGTTCCACTCGCTGTTTTCGTAGATTCTTGGGGGTGGACAAAGCTAAAAAAATTCAGCCATTATATTTGTTATCAGCATTAGACTCCACCTCCAATACCAGTATTGCGATAGCCAAAGTTACAACAAACAATATTTTCTGAACACTTCTCGATGTAAAAACAATATTAACGTAATGAACACACCATTAAATTTGGGAACATTTATGGTTTTAACCTATTAAAGAGTAGCAGTACTTTCCAAGCAGCTTTTGTTCATACCGGTTGCCGTGGTAACAGTTTCTGACTGGTTTGTGTCTGGACTGTCGTCAGTCAAGTCCTCCCCAGCAGAGTCTTTTACCGGACCAGATATCTGCCCGTCAAACAGAAAGCAGATCAGAACTTCAGTGACTGTTCATAAACCAGAACTGTATTATTATATTATAATAAAAACACAAAGTGTTCGCACAGGGAAAGGCTCGGCTCCTTCCTGGATGACAAAGCCCTCTATGAGGTGAGTAAGGACTTGTGGTTTCACAACAGCTTGAGGAGGCGAAGCTCTCTCCCCCTGACCGCAAACCCCCCGAGCTACAGAGAGCGCCGGGGTCGGAGAGGAGGAGACTTGAGGAGAAGCCGAGCCTGGAGAGACGGTAGGGAGGAAAAACGGTTTTACAGGTTTCACCGTCTTTTAAAACCTGATCAGGATAAATCAGAGACCAATGTTCTCACCTGCACAGATGGGTTTGGCTGAGGACAATGAGGAGTGGTCTCTGACCAGCTTGAGCCGTGGAGGAGATGGACCATCTTCATCATTTGCTGAATTGGAGTCAGATTTTCTTTTTAGAGAGGTGCTGAGTTGCTTTCCCTTTAAGAAAAACATCAAATTTAAAGACGTTTGTAAAAGTCAGCTGCAGCAGGAAGTTAGCAAAACATGAAAAGTAGCTCTCAAGCTGACTGGTTAGTGACCAGCTGACCTGGGGTGTCTGACCTCCCGACGCGTCTCCATTGGCTGTGACAGCAGACGACGCTCCTCTCTGCTCGTCAGTCACCGGGGGGAGCATGTGTGTTGAGCGTGATTGCAGGGGGGGAGGAGATGAAACAGTTGTCAACTGAGAGGAGGCGGCATGCGCTAACGGTCCATTTTGACTGTGTGCAGAGCTCTGACTGGCCTGTGGATGCACCTGAGACGCCTGAGTCAGCGGGGGAGCCTCCTGGGGAGTCTGAAGGGTCTTAAGCCCCACCCCTCGGCCAACAACCCCACCCTCCCTGGAAGCAATGGACGCCACCATGGTGAGCAGGCTGGACGAGCTGCTGAGAACGGCAGCTCCATCCTGGCTGCAGGTGCCCCGGGCGAGCGCGAGAGCCTGGGCCCCTCCCAGCGTGCTCTGCCGGGCCCCGACTATCTGAACAGGGATGTGCGGAGGCTGGGGAGGGTGGTTGGAGCTGCTGGACGGTGTTGGAGCAGGAAGAATGGGAGGAGGGTTTCTAGAAGGCAGCTGAAGAGGCAAGCGTAGCCCTTGCAAAGTTTTTGGTTGGATGGGGATGGGTCCGTTCGCGTGTCCCGACTTCTCAGCGCTCAGCGAGGACTTCTGCAAAGGCTGCACCACCAGAGTTTGAGCGTTGACCGCTGGTTTGATGGTTGCCGTGCCGACTGGGTACCCGTGGGGCTGAGAGGTGGCATTGGACGTCAGGACCAGGGTGTGTGCTGCTGTGGGGGCTGTGGTTCCTGTGGTCAGGGTTCGAGTTCCATGAAGCAAGAGCTGGGAGAGAGGGATGGAGGAGGTGGAGGATGAGGTTGAAGATGAGACTCCAGAAGAAGACGAAGGGTGGGCTTTGAGGTTAGTAGGCTGGGGGTACGTAGGGATTTTGATATGGGGTGGTTGTGGACTTGGTTTAGTAGGAGACTGGGTGGTTGACTGGTGGGAGGGCTGGACCAGAGAGAAGGCAGCTGGGAAAAGAAAAACACGTGTTAAAGAACACCTCATTTATGTAAACAACAACAACAACAAAAAACGACCGTCGTTCATGTACACAACAGTAAACCAGCAGCCTTTTCCTTTTCATCCTACCAGAGTCACTCTTCTCCGGAGCTTCAGTTTTAACACATTTAGGACTCGAGACTCCTCGCATGGCAAGGTTCTGCACCTGGAGACGAACAGGAAACGGTTGTTTAAAGATCAAACAATTACCGTGTTTCTGGTTGAACAGACACGGCACACATTCAGCTCCCGCTTCGAAATGTTAACTCAGTTACCCCACATACCTGGTCATTATCTGACTGGCTGCTGCTGGAGGAAGCGGGGGTGACTTCCTGTGGCTGCTGGGTTACAGTCGCCACGGCAGCGGTTGCTGTACTACCAGGCATGAATATGAGCTGAGAGGGGATGGGCGTCCTCAGGGAGCGGTTGACCTGCAGGATGAACCGCTTTTAAATACATAGATACTGAACTGAGGCCACCTATCAGATAGTAGAGAAACTGCATTTTCTGTAAAAATGCAGTGAGAATGCAAAGTGCTGAAGAAGCTGAAGCTAAGTTTTTAAAACCTAAAAGAAGCAGAACACTATATAAAAAGGTAACAAAAGGCTAGCTTAAAGTATCAAAGGGTAGCCAGAAACTAAAAAGTAGAGCCCAACCGATATATCAGAAGAGCCGATATATCGTAGAGCCGATATATCGGTAGAGTCGATATAGGCGTTTGGGGACATATCGTATTGGTGATAATTGTCCCATTATGCGCCGATATAAACACTGGGAACAAGCAGTGTCCTTACTTGTAAGCATGCAGACTACTTTCAAGTCATGGTCGTTTACTTTAATTTCCACTTTCAGCACAGCTGAAGCAGCGAGCAATACTGTGTAGTAGGCCTGTCACGATAAACAATAAATCAATTAATCACATGATAAATGAGAATGATCAAGCTCATTTTCATTTATCGGCTTTATCGTTTCTTCGCGTCTCTTTTTTCTACCAAAGACACTGGATGACAAAAAGCTCAACTCCGGTGCTCTTCACTGACCCCTCCCTTTCTCTTTAAAATCCATTTAACCATCCAAAATTGTGTTTTTGGATCGTTAAAAGCAGCTAAGCTGAGAAGCTAAGCTAACAGGCCGACCTCGGGGAAAAAAAAAAAACCTGTCTTGTCGAAGCTCTAAAATTCACGGTTGAATCCTGTGCCTTCGTATAAAAAGTTGTTTTTCTCTGCAAAAAGATGCAGAGAACTTTTTTACTGATTTTTAAAAAAAAATTTTTATTAAAAGCTTTGTGTTAAAAATGCTATGCTAAAGAGCTCAAACCACATGAGCATCCGCCTGTTTGAGAACCAAAGAGAGACAGCCCATGTCACGTCAAGGGGCCTCCCTCCCATTTTTCTTAACGTGACACACTGCTCGCTCCCTCACTATCCATCCTTTGGTTCAAACAGTCTTACACTGCCATCGGGTGTTCGAGAAAAGGTACTACACGCGAAACAAATTATAAGCATTTCTTTTTACATTTAACAATAATTACAAATTATTGTCAAATTTCAAACAATATTATTGTTTATCGCAATAATTTGAGACAATTAATTGCCCAGCAAAATTTATTATCGTGACAGGTCTACTGTGTGGCATCTTTTGCTGAACAGAGCACGGTAAGTTTATTTTAACTGATCTGTAAAATCAAATCAGATAAAAAAAGACAAATTATTTTCAATCCTCCAACCCACTTGTCATTAGCTACATGCCTCTCAAGCTAGCAAGCTAACGTTTATAACCTAGCATACCTTGTAAAACTTTATCCAGAACAATAAATCTAACGTAGAGGTAAAATATATATCAGTGCTAGTAACGTTATCTTTGTCGTCCTCAACGAAATGCGTTGTTTGTCTGAAATCTTTACTTCTCCGCAAAGAAAATAAAACTGTCAATACTAATTAGACCTTCACCATACGTGATTGTTTAAAAAAAATGAACAGGGAAGGGTGTTTCTTCCTTTAACTTATAGTTTTGTAACACACTTGATAACTTTATGGTGAATAGTGGAGGACAGAAAATGTGAACGCACATTAGGAAGACCGTTTCAAGACTTCACGGGTTAAAAAAGGTTTAAAAGTTGCCATTTACTTCGATTCCTGGGGGTGGACAAAGCTAAAAGAAATTTCGCCATTATATCGGTTTTCGAAACTGGCTTCCCCTCCCAATATCGGCATCGGCGATTGCCAAAATTTCCTTATCGGTCGAGCTCTACTAAAAAGAGCAACAAGTTAGCTAAAAGCTACAAGTAGCACAAGAAGACAAAAACAGATCCAAGTATTTTGAGGCAGATTTCAAAGTGAAAAATGTTTTTGCAGAAACTGAAGTGTGCTCAATGTATTTCTACGGGAACGTATTTGTAAATTAAATGAACTATTTTGAAAAGTAATGACGTTATGAAAATTAAATTTCATTGCAACCATCTCCTGAATGAGATGAACGTTTCGATTTAAATATATAAATAGCACAACGTCTGCAGAAACAGTTATAGCGAAAAAACACGTTTGGAAGAATAAAACAAGAATGCCGTCTAAACTCACCCTGAGGTACATTTGTCCCTGCCCGCCTGCCGTCCCGCTCAGCAGCACCGACTGACTGATCGTGGACGTCGCGGAGGCACCTAACGGACGGCTGCTGGTCGAAGAACCTGATCCAGATGTTACACTGGCCTGAGGAACAACAAGTTACTTTTAATTTGTATTTTTTTCAAAATGCTTTTAAATATTCCGTTGGAATCTGCTAAATAATTACTTCCTGCAAGCACTTTCAACACTTTAATTGCTCATATTGTGTTTTTTTATTTTGTTGTTGTTGTTAGGGTAAAAACAGCAGAGCGTACAGATGTGGTGCTGGTGGTCTGAGAAGAACTGCTGGTGCTGCTGGAGGGACTCGACTGACGACTGGCTGCCAGCGTAGCCTGGAGAGGAGACGAGGAGCAGAAGGTAAGAAACTCCAGACCGGGTGGTTCCACAGGCTGTTACGTGGTTGAAGGAGACGTGGCTCTTTGTTTTTGCTCACTGAACTTTAAAATGTTCACATATCCGCTACATTCCAGCACAACCATCTACTCCATCCATCACTTCCCAACGTCTGCTTGTGGTTTTAAACAAAGGGGAATTCCTGTAAATCAACTCGTGTCATTTTGTTTTTTCCTTTCACTTTGTCAGTCAGTGTGCACGTAGGTGCATACGTTTTAGTAGGAAGATTGTGTTGAAACAAGACAAGTATCGTGTCTATAAACCTGAACACAAAGTGTCACACACCTTCACTTGTTGCACGGCGGCCAGGTTCTGCAGCTGGGCGCTGTTGATCTGCTGCTGCAGCATCAGCTGCTGGAAGTACTGGGCTGCATTAGGTTGTCTCTGCAGCGCTTGGAGGGCCTGGGAGGAGGAAGAACAATAAAAAAATGAACGACACGTAAAGCAGTCAGGAGGGTGAGAATAGAGACGAGTACAAGACAAGAACAAAACGCTGAAAGAGTTTGTTAAAGAGAAATGGCTGCGGTGATGATGATGAGGCGAAGAGGAAAGAAAGAAGAGCAGCGAGGGAAGAGGGAGCAGGTTCCTGCCAGCTGCCTGATGTATGAGCAGAGGCTCGTACTGGAAGAAGCTGAGGGATGAAAGCGAGCTACGCTGCTTGGATTCGTGTGCGCGGTGTGACAAAGACAGATGGCCGTGCACGACGACTAAAGCCTGAGAAAATAACACCGAGCCTGTCAGGGCCAGCCAGCCTCCTCCTCTTTACCGCGCATCCTCCCGTTTATCATCCATCCACACAGAAATCACCACGTCTTAAAACAAGCTCAGTTTTTCCTCCGTTACAGGGGAGCTAAAGTTTGGAATGATTTCATTTATTTATTTATTTGAAACAGGCAGGCCTTCTGTAAAAGAGTTTAAATGTTATTTAAAACTTTAAAGAATTGTGATCGTCACTTTTTAATCGTTACATATTTAAATTTCCATTAATGCTTTGTAGATGTGGTTTTGTTGTTGTGTGACTGTATTCCTAAATTTATGATCAACTGAGTGTATTCTTGGAAGGTAGGGGTGCAACGATTGCAGTTTTCTGGCTGATCAGCGATTTGTAAAAAGTCTGACGTGCCGATTCCAATTTTGTTTTATGAGCGACACCGTCAGGTGTTGGAAGGTCACAACGCACCTTCAATTTTCTAATCGTATTTTATTGAAAAACGTATCCTTGAACATTATCCTAGAAACAATACAAACTTGTTTCAACTGGTAGTGTTCTGAAATATAAATGAAGTTTACATAATCGTTGTTAAAACTAAACAAAAATTAAATAAAACTGGTTTCTTGTGCAAGTATCGTCCGATCTCCCAAAATTAAGGAAATCGGGGTCGATAAGTCGAAGTATCGGTGCACCCCTAATGGATTGTATTATTTTTCTATACTATTTGGGTGGAGGCGTTATATACGGCAAGTCCTTTGGGCTTTTGCCTCTTCCTGCACTGTTATTATTATTATTATTATTATCATTTCCTGATGCATGCTCAATACTGTTATTATTTTTTCTTAATATCTTTGATCTGTATTTTAATGGTGCAAAATAAACTAAACAAATATGATTTTCTTCCTCACATAAACATGCAGGAGCAGTTAGACAGTTTTTAAAATTTGGATTTGATATTGGACTTTTTTTTAAATATTTTTTTATTATTATACAACTTCTGTTAATTTATCTTTGTTTTTTTTCTTTCCCAGACTCATTGTAGGCGATTTCTTCATGAGGCTCATTTTAAAGTCCAATCGTGAACATGTGATCTCTAATCCCATGGCATGCAGCCCACTTTCTGATTCTGACCCAACAAGAACAACTCCCAAGCTGAACAGAAGGGTCTGGAAACGGAAGCGTCGTTATTTATGCGAAACCTTAAGGCAAAATAAAAAAATAAATAAAAAAAAGAGTTTGTCATGAGACACTGCAGGATCGTCTAATATGAGAAGAAACAAACACAAGAGGGATCACTGAAGTCAGAATGCTGCATCCAAACACGATTTACCAAATTCTTACAGCTGGCACAAAAAAAAAAATCTAAATTTTGTTTTTATTGGAACAAATGCAACTTTATGGCAACAATTTTAAATCTGCTTTGCTGCAGAGCGTTGGCATCTTTATGTACGCTAAACAATGGTTCACCTTAAAAAGTGGCAGAGAAGGTCTTTTTGAAGGAGAGTCTGCAAGTTTTTAAGAAATGACTTGACTGAGCCCCCCCAATGGATCCCAACAATCAAACTGGTCGAACCCATAAGAACACACCTACCTGCACCGCCTGCCTTTCATACAGAGACATGGAATTCATCTGTGAGGGCCGGGAGCTCGTCCCAGACGCTGCGCTCCCATTGGTCGAGGCTCCCTGCTGGTTCTGCTCTCCGTCGGTCTCCATGGCTGCTGACGAGACGGACAGATGAGCTGCTGTTCGGTCAAACACAAAGATAAGCATCTGTTCCTCTCACAAACAGTTCTCGTTCAACATTTTACAGCGCAATCATTTTCCACGTCAAGTACAAAACCCTGTACGGTCCCAAAACACCAATCAGCCAAAAATATTACGACCACCCACCTAACGCATAAAAAAGTCCTCTATTGGCAGCCAAACGGCGCCAACCTCTGCTGGTTCTGACATGAAGCAATCTGTAACAGATCATTAAGATGTTCAGATTTGTTTTTCCAGGACTTCCCGCAGATGTTTGATGGGAACAACATCTGGAGTACTTGATGTCCAAACCTCAAACCATTCTTGAACCACGTCTGCGTGTTGGCTACGTCCATTGCTCAGCTGGATTAAGACACTGCCATTAGAGATTACAGTTTTATTGTGAAAGGGTGTAATCAGTCAACGTTAAGAGCACTGTCAAAATAAAATCAAGTGTTCTTGCCGACTTGTTTTCTTCCCGTGCATTGTTGCTGCAAATACATATTAAAGGACGACTTTAAACCACTGGTTTTTATCAAATTTAAATATGTTCAGATTACTTATACACAATCAGATCTGCAAACTTGGTTAATAAACAAGAAATTCACAACTCAAAGTGCTTTTAAACATAAAATACGGATGTGCAAATTTAGAAAAACTCGCACCGTGTATTATTATTGTTTGATATTTTAATGTCGCCATCAGCTGCAATAAATCCTAATTTTTCTCACTTTTTCCTCTTTTATTAATATTATCTCAATCAGATGTGGGCAGGTGTGGGTTTGGACATTAACCAAATATAATTACGCAGAACAGGAAAGCATTGCACTTGCAATAAATGATTTATTGCAGTCCAAGGTGTCCTTTGTTATATTAACAGTGCGCACACTGATGTCGTGATGAATTTGTAAGATATTGGGCAACACCAATAATAAAAAAATTTAATTGTTTTGATGCAAATAGTCTAACAATTCTGATTATTTGATCACTTAAGGTATATAAATAAAACATTTGATTTAGTGAGCACACATTCTCACAAACTGCATCCTAAATATCACTGGAGAGAATTTATTTGTTGCAGATTTACCGTTTTGTGCAATAAATGCCTTGATGACACAATCAAGCCGGATCAATTCCAGATCAACTCAACTGTGCACACCTGCAAACAGTAAAACCAGTTTTATCTAGATTTCAGAGAAAATGAAAATCTGAATTGTGGTTTATTTTTTGTTGTTCCATTTGGTTTATTATATCAAAAATACAAATTAATAAAGGTTCACCCTGTTAGAGCTGATCTGAAACAATGGGTTTTGCTTTAAAACATATGTTTTTCCACTAATGTAGAACAGGTGATTTGAATCTCCTCCAGGACACATTTAAATCAGAGGTCCATCTTTTATGGCAGCATCTTTATTCCTCCTCCTGTTCTCTCGCACCATCAGTCCCAGCATGAACCGGTCTGCATCTGGCTTTAACCTGAAAACAGCCTCTCTCTCTTTTAGCTGCAACAATCACCTGAGCTAAAGAAATAAAACAAGCACAGAGCTAACGCGGCTAGCTGCGCTCCATGCTTCAGACCAGTTGATACCAGATCCACCGGAGGCTAGCGGCCGCCGCCGCTGCTCCTGTCCGCTTCGTATGCGGGGCTCTCGGTGATTTCTTACCGTGACCGCTCGGGGTTTCTCGGCCTCCTCCTGCAGCGGCTCCCGGCGGCAGGTCGACTCGGCGGCCTCCCGGACAGCTGGTTGAGTCGGCGCTGCTGCCTCTTTTCTTCGCTGCAGCAGCAGCAGCAGCACAGATTTCTCTGCTCTGCATAAATTTGCAGCTGGTGATGTGTTTGTTCGAAGGGAAACGCCTCCTTTTTTTTTTTTTTTTCTTCTTTTTGGTTCTGCCTTTTCCGGCGCGACGTGATGACGAAACAGAACGCGACGAAGATCAGGTTTGGTTTGGTGTAAAATCCACACAAGGTCAACATGTTGGATTGTTCACTCAACGATACAATGAAATGCTGAGGACGCTGAATGACATTAGCTTTTATAAATATGAAAATATTCATGAGTCAGTAAAACACACCAAATCCAAAGTAAAAAAAAAAAAAAATACATAGCAGACCATTAGATTTGATTGAAACACCTTGGTGAAACCTTTTAATGTTATGGAAATTAAAAAAAGAGAGAGAGAGTGGTGAAGGCTGCACAGAAGTCTGTCGGAGTCAGCCTCCCCACCATCGACCTCTACACCTCCAGATGCAGGAAGAGGGCCACCTGCATCATGAAGGACCCCACTCACCCAGCACACACTTTTTGCCCCACTCCCCTCAGGAAGGAGGTTGAGAAGCATTAAGTGTAGAACCACTAGACTGAGGAACAGCTTCTACCCTGAGGCTGTTAATCATGAATCTCTAACCAGAATAATCACTGTGAAAAATCACATCATGTTGCTGCTGATCTGTTTCAATGTTGATGTGTTCATGCGTGCACATCCGCTCACACAGACTCATGCTCATGTTTGTGCTGATGTTCAATGTTTATGTCATGAGTGCTTAGTGTATATTTAGTTGATGTTTTTCTTAGTTCATATCTTAGATGTTATTACTGTTTTTCTTATACATTTTATTGTTGGATGTAACTGGGACCCTGTGTACATAATTTCGCTCCACCACATGTACCACATGAGGTGCGAATGACAATAAAGAATCTCTGACTCTAACAGCTTTCCCCCCTACAAGCGCAATTAAAAACATTTTTCCCATTGGCTACTTGCATTTTTAAGCACAAAGCCTAATAAAAAATTGAAATCTTCACTTTAAAAAGTAAACCAAAATTTGCCTTAAACTTTTCATTAAATCAGAGGTCCTAAAAATAGCATATATATTTATTCCCATAATGTCATAAGTGCATCCCCAATTCCAAAAATAGTAATTAAAAAAGGAAAATCTAAAAATATTAGATTCCTTTTGTACAATGGTGCAGTTGGTAGAGCTGCTGCCGCTCGGCGAGAAAGTTGATGGTTCAAATCCCGGTCCGGGACCTTTCTGGGTGCATGTTCTTTCCACGCATGCGTGGATTTTCTCCGGTTTCCTCCCACAGACCAAAAACATGCATGTTAGGCTGGTTGGTAACTAAATTATCCCTATGAGTGAGAGTGAATGGTTGTTTGTCTCGTTTGTCTCTATGTGTCCCTGTGATGGACTTGCGACCCGTCCTGGGTGTCCCCCTGCCTCTCGCATCGTGATATGGGCACCAGTGACCCGTTACCCAAAAAGGAAGAAGCTGGCAAAGATAATGGATGGATGGAAGGAAATTCTTCTTGTCAGAGGAAAAACATAGACACAATACTTCTGATTACATATTGATAATTTTATTTAACAATTTTACATTTCTGGTATGTTCGGGACAAAGAACAGCTGGAGTGCTTCACTAATGTGGCACACAGGAATGTTAAAAGCCTAAATATTAACACTAAATCACCTGAAACTGAGCCGACATTCTGGTCACTGCAATACAAACAGACGATGGCTGTGATGTGTCAAGCATTACTCCAGTCACTGCACTGCGTCAGACATTTTCAGCTTCAAGCACTACAGACAGAAAATGGATGCAGTCCTCAAACGCCTCATGTTGGTTAATATACATTAAAACTCTACTTCCAGTTCAATTTGTTGAATCTGTTGCATGAGGAGGCTGAGTAAATAATGATGCCTGATACATTTGGTGAATAAGAAATGAGAGCTTTTCCACTAACACTGAGAAACAGTCTGAACACGTGAGGCACAAAAACATAACGGGAATCTCACAGTATGCACATTTACACAAAAACACCACAGTAGTCATGGCCAAACATCCACAGAATAAAGATCACAAGAACCAAATTATGCTGTTGAAACTATTTTCACAAATTTACATTCACATGTGTACGAATGAATTCCAAAACAACCAAGTTAACACACAGTTCTGATATTTACGATGGAATGTCATTATGTGCTTTAATAGAAACATTATGGCCAAATTTGAATTAAACAAACCTTGTTTTGTAATTTACTTGATGAATGTCATGATCCGAGTAACAAATAAACCGCGGCAGCGCATCTGAGCAATTAAGATCTTGTTTTCTTGTGTTTAAATTATGATGCAAAGTTGTAGCTGCCGAAACTCAAAAGAGTTTAATCTGGTGGAGCATGTTTGTGAGTGATGAAACAGACACGCAAAAAGAAAAATAAAGCTCAAACGCAGCAGCTTCAGTCAGCGACTGACTCTTATACTAATATATAGAAACTGATTTGAGCCTGAGAACTTCAGTGTATGGAGAGCAGATGGCAGTGTGACTCAAACATAAAAACATGCAGGTAACATAGAAATAGAGCTCTTAAAAATACATATTTACACTTTAGTTTTTATCCTGTACAGTTAAGAGGAGAGTTTTGAGTTTGCACATGTGCATACAGTAGCTTTCTGCATCCTACGTTTAATGTTCTTTTAAATTTTTTTTTTTTTTTAGTATTTCTGGTACTCGTGTTGCAGTTTGCTGTCATACCAACCGGATTTTTCGAGTTCTACGTAACGTTTGTTCAAACTACAAAATAGCTCTTAATCAAAATCGAACAAGAAGTTTGCTCAAAGTGGCTTTTGCCATCTTCAAAACCACTTGTAAACCGGCGGTATGGAGAAGAAACTTCCTGTAGAGAGCCGTGTGCCACTCAGAACTCAAATCTTTCTTCACCAAAAGCAGCATCTTCAACACCGAGCTTTCTTAAACCTCTGAGTCCCACATTTTCTGAAAGAAAAAGATGCATCAAGCACCTATCGTGGAGGTATTAGACTTGTTTGTTTTTTGAGATTGCCAAAAGGCATTCCCGACAGGGCAACTGGTGTTACAGAAATGTATATAAGAGACACGGGTTTGGTAAAACTCGGTGTGGGGCGGTTGGGGGAGCAGCGTAGACATAGCCACTAACAGAAGCAGCATATTCACAGGAGAGACTGAAGACAACACCGAACGCCATCAGAGAGGAGCGCAAACACACCATCATCTACAAATACGTGAATATACATTAAAACTATAACTAAAAATCCAATAATCTAAGAATTACTCATCGTAACAAGCCTGCTCACATCAAGTGAAACATATCAACAAATTTACAAATTGCTAAGTGGAAACTGTTTAAACGTTAGGCAGGTGGATGATTTTACCGAAGTAAATCTCTTCAAGTACAGTTAAGGATAAAAGAAATACATAAATAAACGGGCTCTGAATGGACGGCGAGGGTGAGAATAGCTTTCTCTACAGCAAATCCACACAACGGAACAATAGATTATAGAAAATATACTTTTTGTCACACGGTTTCACAACACACGCACTGTTAGTAATACATAAATCTGTCGAATAAGAAGACAAAGTGTCACAGCGCTGGCAGCATCTAGACCCATGGAATAAAGCTACAATGATATTTGAGCTTGTTGATGATTTGACTTCCTTAAGTTTCAAGTTTAGAAGGAAATAAAATATATTTGAGTTTTATTGTTCAGGAAAAAAACACATCAGGTTCACAAAAAATGAATTCTATTTAAATGTTAATCTAAAATAAGAGATGTATTCCTAAAATTAAATGTTGAGCGTATTTACTCAGATGATAACAGCCATGATGAAATTTAATGTTTAATAACCGAGGTGTGTCCTGTTGAGAGGAAACAGCCTGTTTCTCGTTGTATTTGGGGGATGTTTGCGTTCATTTTTGAGCAGCTGCATGTTGAAAAAGTACAAACCGATTCACAGAAAATCTCATTCAACATTTTCACATCAACTGTTTGGTCTTGGATCGCCCACAAACTCAACATTACACAATAACCCTGTGATGTGAAGAAAGCAACTTAAACTTTTAATTTAATTATTTTTCAAAAATGTGCTGGTTAAGACTATGGAAAAAACATGTTAAGATAACATGTTAGCATGAACTTTTTATCTGAGATAATTAATGGTTTTATTATGTAAAATGTTTATTAGACTAACATCTGTTTTTTTTAACATTAATAGCAGTTTTTTAATCTGAATATAATCTACATGTTGGATCACATTAGCAAATTAGAAACAATTTTACAGATTATTTTATTATAACAAAAATGCTCATTCTGACCTGAAATCAAAAACCCAAAAGTGGAACAAATGCTTGAAGTTCAGGTCATACGACCTTCGTTGTCTGAGTGTTTTCACGCAGACATTAGGAGAAAATAAAAGTTTAAACAACGATCTTTGGATTGACTTTCACAAATCAAGAAAAATTATTAGGGTTTGTCCACCAATCAGCTTCCAAACAAAAGCTCTTAGCGTACCCAGTTAGGTCTTTTAAAATGTTTTTGTTTAGTTTATATATTTAAACGTCTAATTAAAACCGGACTGATTCAAAAACCAAAGTAGTTTGATTAAAAACCAAGGAAACACTTGTTTTTAGCAGTTTTGAAGAACATCATGCTTTGTGTTGACATATAAAAACATAATGTTATTCAGGTTAACTAGAATAAACCTCCGTAAGCAGTTTTATCTTTCACTAAAACTCTTAAACATCGTGATTTGACAGTATTAGCACTTCCCCTTTAGTTGCCTCATTCCCTTATGGCTGAAGATCCGGCACTGATTGCACATTTCACGTAATCTGACCTATTAACAGCTTCGGTAAATGTATGCTTCGTTACCGCTCATGTAAATGCAGCTTATATTATTAGCAGTAGGGATGCACGATATTATCGGCATGGTATCGGTATCGGACGATATTAGCGATAAAGTTAAATATCGATATCGACCATTCCATCAAAATAACTCACCGATATAAAAGACGCTGTTTTTTTTTTTACATATATTATATATTTATATAGTGTTTCATCATTTTCAGCCCCCTTTTTTTGGCATCTGTTTTTGGTAGCAGGCCAAATTAGCAAAGATCTTGCAGAATAATGTATTTGAATTCCCCAACAGAGAAAGCTATGTAGTCTCTGTAAGTAGGTCAAGGGGAGAAAATATCGGTATTGGTATCGATTATCGGCCAAATAAGTTTTAACATATCGGCATATCGGCCAAAAATCCAATATTGTGCATCCCTAATTAGCAGCCCGTTATAAATAAAGCAGTCTTGTGCTCAAAGACTCACTGATAGTCTCCATCTCGTCTTCATCTGGTTACTGCGATGTGCACGGTACACAAGAGATAAAGGGTTAATCTAAACTGCACTTTAGGTGATGACGGTGTTTCTTCTCATCTGCACACAAACAACTCACTGTTCACACATTGGTGCCAGTCTGAAAACCATTAAAACATCTTAATATGCTTTACTGTATATACTTTGTGTTAAAACTCTTTCTATTATAATAATCTTGCCTTTAACAAAAATATACAATGGATGTTACAATTCTATGCGGTCAAGTCTTACTGGGCTAAAAGCATTAGTCCTACAGGTCAAAGGTTACGATCATTTTAAAAACAGACTGCAATACTTTTCTAATGACCTTCAGTTTATTTTAAATAGTTACCAAAGATGAAAAGTTAAATCTCTGCTAAAATTTCCAATAAGCCTGTAATGTAGCACATTTGAATCCCAATTATTAATCTTAAGCAGATTGTATTTGTGCTTATTCTTGTGAAGATTATCTTTAAAGTATTTAGGAAGTATTTCTGGTCAGTCATGGAAAATATATTATTTTAGTCTCTGTTCAATTTTGGCATTTTTTACTTTTCAAAAACAGAAAAAGTAAAAGGGTGAAGTTATTTAGTAATTAGACATGATTAGGGAATTAGTGCTACAATCGTTCATTTGTTGTCATCAGAAGTGATGCTAATCTCAAATTACATAAAATATATCCAATAAATCCTGATGCTTGCTCAATAATCCAGGTAGATTAATCTAACAAGGTTAAGTCAGGTCCTCTGGACGGTTTCTTCTTCGTTGAAACATTTTGTCTTTTATCCAAAAGACTTCTTCAGTCAGAGGCTCTGCAACAAACAGTCATAAGCAGCACCTGCACCTGTTATTGCTAGCATCACTCAGCCCTCTGTGAATAGCAAGTGGCCATCGGGGCACTAACAACCAACTGTTAGGCTGCTGGTCCTCCTTTTGCATGTGAACAACTACAGGTAGTTCTGGATGTCATCAGCAAACTAGTTGATCCACCATGGAAAGTGCTGCTCATAAGACTGAGTTTGTCGCGGCTCCTCAGACTGAAGAAGTCTTTTGGATAAAAGACGAAACGTTTCAACAAAAAGACTCCGTCCAGAGGACCTGACTTAACCTGGATAATTTATCTACCTGGATTATTGAGCATGCATCAGGACGTAAATAAAATAAACTTGTTTTATGGTTTTAGCATTAACGTTTAGACTTATTAAAGTTTGAAATATCTGGGGATGAATTCTGCAGACTGGATTCAACAACCAGATATTTAAGGTTGCGCGTGTTCATCGGGAGGTGACGTACTTTGGTAATAATCCTGTTATTTTGCGAGGAAAAGGCGACGCGTCTCAGAAAACATCTTATTAAACCTGCGGTCAGAAAGCACCTCCTCAAAGTACAACTACTGCCCTAGTCATTAAAACTCTCCTTACATAAAAGACAACAGGTTAATTAAAAAGTGTATCCGTGGTGATCCACGCCACTTTAACTCACTTGGACCTGAACTCAGAAGCTGTATTTATGAAAACACCTGTAACACAATTCAGAAAATCAGAATTCCTGTTGACCGCCCTTTCCTGCAGTAAGGAACATACCAGCTGGACCTGAACCCAGCTTCAGTGGTAATTAACCAGAGGTGTGTGTCGGTCTGACTGCAGACACACACTTTTATTGAACGCACCCGATTCCTCAGGAATGTCAAGATTTTTAGAAGACAGACAGAACTTTTTGAAAAGAAAGTGTGAGCAATGCTGAAGTAGTTTCCTCAGTTTTTTAGTGACTCTTCCTTCAAATACAATCTCTCCCACGTAATAAAACTTCATCTACACCTGCTCTACTTTCTCTTCGGTCGCGCCGGGTTTCTCTGTGAGCGGAGTTGTTTCGGCTGCCGGCACGGAGACCTGAACGGCTGCTGGCGCTTCAACCAGCGGGACCTTCTCCTTCTCCGGTGAGGCTGGAAGCGTCACGGCGGTGCTGGAGGTGGCAGGAGGCTCCTCGGCGGAAGAGGCGGCGGGAGGTGGAGCGCTGCCGAAGCCGCGGGCGATCTCTTCAAAGGTTTTTCCCTTCGTCTCCGGGACTTTGAAGAACGTGAAGACGAAAAAGATGATGAGGAAGGCAGTGAAGATGAGGAACACCCACGGACCACACCACTCCTGTGGAAAGAAGAGAGTGGAATCACAACTTGTACAATGTATCCTAAAACCAATGACTCAGATCATACAAAAAGTACTTTGCACAAGTCTTGAGTCATAACTATTTTCTTTATTTATTCCAAGCAGCCCGACTTTTTATGCATTTGTTCCAATTTATTCTGTTGAAGCTATGAAAAACATCAAATTAGCAAAGTTTGACAGACATAAACGATATTTCAGCGCCAAAAAAAAGGTGATTTCAAAACAAACTTGACCGACAACTAAACATTGATGCAGCTCTCGAGTCCAGTCTGATCTTTGATAGGTTTTTTTTCTTGCATTAATTACAGAGATGACATTTAGATACTGCTCATCTGTTGTTTATTGTTTATTTGCCATCCATTTGTCAAATGGTCAAATTTTTCTGAGCACTTACTGCACGGCTGCCATGATCAGGACTGGATGAAGACTTAATGAAAAAGCTGCTAAAGTCCAATAAAAACCTGAAAAGTCTTAACAAAAGTGTAAAAAAATTAACCAGGAACACTTAAAAAGATCACCAAGTACAAAGTAAGTCTGTCTCTGAAAGCAACGCCTAAAGATATTATCATGTTTGCGTAGCGCTACATAAGGATTTTATTTTATGTATGCACAACACGGCAGAGCAACAAGTTCTTGTCGCAAGAGCAAAAGAAAAGAAGCTTTAATTAAACCAAAACCAAGTTCTAACCGATCAATCAAAACCAGCACCACTGCCCCGCCCTTACCACTAGTTTGGGAAAGCTCATTCCAACCAGGAAGTTGGCTGTCCAATTACAGCAACCAGCAACAGCCATGGCTGCAGGACGGGGCCCCTGGGAGAAGAGCTCGGCCACAATGAACCATGGGATTGGACCGGGGCCCAACTCAAACATAGCCACAAAGAGCATGACAGCCAGGATTGCCGCGTAGCTCATAGCTGGGATGTGCTTCTGCTCAGAGAGAGGGAAGAAAAAGGAAAGAGAAACAGACGTAAACAACATATTCACTGGTTTACATTGTTATTGCTGAGTCAGCATTCACGCAATTGTTTACCCCGTTTTTAATTATTTCTTGTAGGTTTCTTGCAAGCTATTCAATTCAGTTATTCATATAGCGCAGTCACACAACAGAAGTCACCTCAGGACACTGTACAGACTATAGAACTAACTATAGGATTTGTCAAGAAGCCCAGTCTTAAAACTGGACAATGTGTCAGCCTCACGGACAGAAACTGGAAGTTGGTTCCACAAGAGAGGAGCCTGATAACTGAAAGATCCGCCTCCCATTCTGCTTTTGGAAACGCTAGGAAGAACAAGTAAACCTGCAGTCTGAGAGCGAAGTGCTCTGTTATGGAAATATGGAACAAGATATGTAACATATAATGGAGCTAGGTTGTTGAGAGCTTTATAGGTTGGAAGCAAGATTTTGAATTCAGTTCTGAATTTGACAGGGAGCCATTGGAGAGAAAAGCAGAAAATGAAAGGTCATCCATGTTTTTATGTCTTTAAGACATGCTTGTAGTCTAAGTAAGTGATTGGATTCATGGACAAATATAACTGTGTATCATCAGCATAACAATGAAAATTTATCCCATGCTGCTTAATAACTTTACCTAATGGAAGTAAGGTAAAGAGTATTGCTCCAAGCACTGAACCCTGAGGAACTCCATGACTAACTTTGGTGCAAGAAGATTTATTATTTACATTTAACTAAATGGAATCTATCAGATAAATGTGATTTAAACCATTTTATAACTGTTCCTGTAATTCCAATATCATATTCAAGTCTCTGTAACAGAATATTGATCAACTGTATCAAATGCAGCACTGAGGTCTAACATCGAACTCCCTTTGCACACTTTGTGCTAGTTTAGCCAACATGTTCAGCTCATCCATGAGATTGGTGCTATGACTTTTTGTTATTTTTGAAACTTATTCTTTTCACAACTATGTTTACAAATATTTTCACTGCAGAAATACACAAGATAAGACAAGATAGACCTTTACTGGCTGATCACGCAGAAAATTGTTGATTGTTAAATTGTTGACATGGAGATGTTGCCATTGTCTTTGCAACTATTACGTTCTTTGAGATCTGATTCGGTACAGTTCTATACTTGGGTTACTTTTAGCTATAAGTTAAGAGTTTCCCTAATTGTAGTTTCTAGCTACTAATTTGATTTTTTTTTTTTTGCTGCTAATTTAATTATTTGGCTAGCCTTTTGCTACATTTAGCTTTTAGCTATTGTTATTTTTTTAGCGTTAAGCTTCTTTTAGGTTTTAGCTAGTGTTCTGCTTCTTTTAGAATTACACTTCAGTTTCAGCTTCTTTAATTTTAAGTCGTTCAGTTTTTGCAGAAAACGTATTTTTTTCTAGTTAAACTCTAAGAACTTTTGTTGTTTACTAGCTCTTGATGGCTTTAAGGCTCTACAGCAGCACTTTGTCTCGTTTTAGGAATATAGACTTTTGATGTTTTTATTTCAACAAGTGAAACTGTTGTCAAAGAAAACCTCAAGTGTAATAAAGCAAAACAACAAGAGAAATGGCGAGTTAAAGCTGCTTTCATTTATTTAAACTCATTTCTCATGATAATTAAAAACATATATGAGTCTGAAGGAACGTAATGCAATGTTAAAAAACAGTTAATGCAAAACTGAAGAGTTTAAATATATTTTAAAAGTTTTAGTTTACATTTCATACATTTTTGCAAAACTCGATCCAATCGCTAGAATTGTCTCAACATAAATAAACTGAAATCAGCATCGGGGGGAGATTTTAGGACATTTAGAATAATTTTACTTTTTGTGCGACTCTTTATTTCCATTAGATTACTCGGGATTGAAACCCAGAAATATTTGATTGGTGTCCTGGGTATTTTCTCACAGTTACATCTGGATTCTGAACTGGACTCACCAGCAGGAGAGAAATGGTCATGAGGAGAGCGCTGACAGCCATTCCTCCCAATCCCAGGAGGTGGAGAGTCCTCCGTCCCGCCTTTTCCACCAGGAAGAGCTGCAGGACACAGAGGGGGGGTGATCTGCTGCTGAATGGACAGAAGCACATGCAGGGTGAAAGACGAGCAGCACAGCACTCACAGAAACGACGGTGAAGACGGTGTTGACGATGCCGGCTCCGATGGTGGCGTAGATGGGCTGCTTCACTCCTGCCGAGCCAAAGATCCCCGTGGAGTAGTAGAACACCTGAAAGATGCAGAAAGGATAGCAGAAACTTAGAGTTTTATACTTACAAAGTAATGTTTTAAACTTTAATTCCTTTCTTCAAATTCACTTTCTTGGCTGCCTCTTCACAAACCAACTGTTTAGTAATTATTCCACATTTTATTGCACTAAATTCAATGTATAAAAATAATAAATGTGCCCTAATAACCTAGTTTTACTACTGAAGAGTTTTTAAATTTCAACACTGGCTTGTTTTGCACAAACAAACATTCGTGTTTGCTTGTAGCTGCAGTGTTTCCTCCTAAATCTGTAAAATCAACATAAAATGATCAAACGGTCTGTGAGCGATGATCCCAGTTTGTAACTCACAGCGTTGATCCCTGAGAGCTGCTGGGAGAGCTGCAGCATGACGGCGATGAGGAGGGGCTGCCTGTAGGACGCCGAGCGGAACAGCTCAGCGATGGTCACCTTCTTCTCCTGAGCCATCTTGGCGCTCTCCTCCTTCATCTCCTGCAGGTCTTTGCTCACGTCTTCGGTGCCTCGCAGACGGACCAGCGCTGTCAGCAGAACCGAGGCAGGATGGGTTACATTTAAGATACAAGAAAAGTTCTGGCGTAACAGACAAACACTGGATCAGTTTGTTTGCTCAATTATCTTGATTTTAAAACCTGGACGATAAAACACCTGCACGTCAACGTTATGAGCAAATTCTTTTGCAACAAATAAAAGCTACAGTTTGAACTTAACCAGAGGCCATTTGTTGGCAATAGTTGCCGAACTTGAATGTCATTCAATAATATTTAATCAAGAGTAATTAATCAGTCGAATGAGTGTTTTAGAGCCAAGTCAGTTTTCCTGCTGCTCTTAGTGTTTTGATTCACTAAAAATTCAAAATAAAATCTGGTTAAAAGACAGTGTATGTTGATAAGTTCAAAAAAGAAAGTTTACATAAAACAACAAATAAAAATCAATGTCCTCTTTTAAGATTTTTCAAGCAAAATAGCATTAATGTCAATGATTTCAGTTCAATAGCTGAAATTTTTAGTCGGAGCACCGTCGAATGTGGAGCATTTACCGTATTTTTCGAACTATAAGTCACAGTTTTTAAAAAAAATATAATTAACATGCCCTGCAACTTATAGGCCCAAGCGACATATTCATGGATTTTTTTTTCCATATTTATAAACTAATTTTTGGCTATGATATGACCATTTTCATTCATTCTGACTGAAAAAATAAAATAAAATAAAATAAGCAGTACCAGTTTTAGCCACTAGATGACAGCAGAGCAGTAGAAGCAGTATGGCATGCTGTTGTATCATGTAATAGGAAAACATAGGTATAATGACAAATTCAAAAAAATTAAAAACAAAAACAACTGGACTTTATTTATAATACTTTGTTTTATTCTTGAACTGTTTTTAATTTACCATGTCCTGGATGACTGAGGATCTTCACCAGCTATTAATGACACAATCAGCTTGCCATATTCTCCCCACCTTCGTTCTGCTTGCTGCTTGGATAGAACGTCAAACCAGCTGCACCTGCCCGGTGAAATGCAGCTAATTTGACCATCAAAGTGGATTTATTAAGCAAACGTTAAACTGAGACACACCTTTACTATAATTTCGAGCAAACAAATAATTGTTTTTAAGTGTTAATCTTGTTAAATTCTTGTTACAAGTCCTCCCGTGCACGCTCACGTGGCCGCCATTTGGCAGCCCATTATTTTTTGGCACAACACCGGCCCACATTTCCAGGTTGTCAGCGGTGATGCATAATAGATGCGACGTATTTATGGATTTTCCCACTTTATTAGACAAATACGGACTGATGCGACTCATAGGGCGGCGCGACACGTACGGCGGAAAATACAGTAATTCTGGTTACTGACCTCAAACAGATTTTATGTGATGCACGGCGCTCAAAAACCTGTCAAAATGAACTTATTTTGCTTAAAGCGCCTTATAGTCCAAAAAATATGGTAATTAGTTGATGTTTGTGTCGGTTTGTGCGGAGGAGAAGCGAGCCTCTGAGAACCAAAACCAGTTTCTGTTCAGCCGCTTGCCTCACCTGAGCTGCAGTTTATTTAACTTCAACAGTTGAGCCTCATTCCATCTGATTTTTCTCCCTTTCAGGAGGGACGGGAGAATGAACACAATCATGCATGAGAACAAAACATCTCTCTTGTGAGTCAGGCAAACAAAGACCATTGTGAGGGTTGAGTGGTTTTAATCTAATCTGCATGTGAAGATGAGCGCACTCTCCAGGCATTTTTTTTCAATTGAACAGAAGCAAAACATTTTCAGGCCCTGATCGGAAGTCCAGCTTTATTTCTTCACCTTGTGGATTCTGTTTCAGGAGAACTCGCTCCTCCTGTTTGACCTCACGTGGGAGCAGCAGGACCGAAACTCTGCCTACCTTTGCGTGCCTGCTCCTCTTGTTTCAGGTTAATCAGCAGGAAACGGGGGCTCTCAGGACAGAAAGGCAGCAGGATGCACTGCAGCACCGCGGGGGCCACAGTAAGGGCCAGCAGCAGGGGCCACAGCTTGTCTGAGCCCAGCAGAAACTCCAAACCAAAGATCTAAAGTCAGGGAGGCACAGCAACAGAACGGGATCAGCTTTGCCTTCATTCCTAAATATTTTTAAAAAGCGACGGTGCTGATATGAGATAAATGAACAGACCTGAGCGATCAGGATGCCCACCACCACACCAAGCTGGTGCAGCGTGCCGAAAGCCCCACGGAGCGGTGTTGGCGACACCTCGCCCACGTACATGGGAGTTAGACCAGTGAAGAGACCACAGAACAGACCGATGACCAGTCGACCGGCGATCACCATCTCGTAAGAGGAGCATATGGTGGAGAAGCCCATGAGGAGGCCTCCGATCACTGCCAGAGAGTTCACCAAGAACATGGAGCGCCGTCTGAAGAGGAAGGAGCAGAGCAGAGCGCTCACTGGCTCTGAACTAACATGTTCTTTTATTTTGTTCATTCAACCTTTATTTATACAAGTGAGTCACAATGAGCCACGAGGACTCATTTACAAGAGAGACCTGATTTAAACAACGAACACAGAGGAGGCGCAGACATAAAATCATAGAAAATAAAAGAAATCAGTAAAAACACAAGTTTCTGCCAAATAAAATCTCAACACTTCAGTTAAAATAATGTTTTTATTTGTGCTGAACAGAACAAATTAAACTGTGTTCAGTTCTAACAGACGGACCAGAAAGATTTTCACTTGTTTTGATAAAAAAAAATATAAATTTTAAACCTAATTAAATAACAAAATCTTTTTTTGTTATTTAATTATTGATATAATTGCATATATCAATGTTATTTATATAGCACATTTAAAACCAACATTGACCAAAGTGCTTCACGAGTAGATTAAATATATTAATACATAATGGATTATTCGAACCATGTCTTCAGTTCATAGAAAATATATTTGAGATAAAATTAAACAACTGCATTTAGCTTCCTTTTTAGCGATCAAATCATTGTGAGACTGTTTTATAAATAAATATGAATATGGAAAGGACTAATAGTTAAGATTATTGATTATCAGATGCAGTTTCTTTTATTGAAAATAGGAGAAAACACTTTAAAATTGGAGAAAAAATATGACTTATGAATAAAAAAGTTTGAAAAAGTGACAAACACATTGTAAATATAAAAGGACTAATTCACTCACAGAGCAGAGGCTTCTCTGTTTTGTCACAAGTTCATTATTTTACTTATATTTGAGGAAAAAAGTACTGTTTTTATTTTGACAACTGAACATTTTGAGTCATAAGTGTTGGTGTTATTGCTGCTCAGATAAAAAAAAAAAAACTACAGGAATGTAGAAATATTGTTTTGAAACAGTAAAATGAATTCATCTGGGGTTTTATTTGTACTTAAATAAATAATTTATACACTTTGTGCATGTTTTTGTATATAATTTTACACTTCAACTGTAAAAATTTCCTTTTTATGGCGTCAATAAATTTCTAGGCTTGTGACAATTTACATGAAAAACCCGAAAATATATATATTTTTAAAGAAAACACACAAAAAGTGAACTTACGTGCAACAAAAGCCAACACATCATCAGTTTCTATTTTTACAAAAGCGTTAGATAATACCACCCTACCTGCCAAACGTGTTGGCCATGACCCCCACACTGAAGGAGCCCACCATTCCTCCCACACTGAAGATGGCAACAGCGATGCTCCAGACGATGGTGCAAATCCCCGGGCTGATGGACTCGCCATAACGCTCCACCCAGGTGTTATTGAAGAAAGACCGAAGTTTCTGAATGGATGGACGAGAGAAAATGTAACTACCTATCTTGGTGTAGTATAAATATTTTCTAGTAAACTGTTCAACGTTGAGCAGTTAATTTTATCTACAGTATTTGTCCTACTGTAGGACAGATGATGATTTTTTGCTAACGCACAGAAAGCAGAGGAAAGGGCCCGACTACACTAGTCCCTTACTACGTTCATTTATCGTGGACTCGCTCTATCGTGGTTTTTCAAAATAAGATTGGACATGACACACTGATGGATGAGCCGCACGATCGGCATGCATTTTTTATTTACAATAAATGATTTTTAATTATTTAGCACCTCCTGCATCTTTGTGCAGCCCACACTGCGGGATAAGCTTCCTGCTGCAGCTGATCAGCTGTTCTCCGTGCAGAGCGGAGAAGTGGGCGTGGCCAAGAGCGCTTGCAGGTGGCTGAGAGCAGCGGAGGCAGGGAGCGGAAATCATGACATTCTGTGTCTTTTAGAGCGTTTAGGGTTTGGAAACATTGTTTAGAATATTGCAAGAGTGTGGGAAGGATTTAAAACGCCTTTATATATAAATATACTCAAATAAACTACTATTACTTCTTTGTGTTTTTTTACTTATTGCAGGTCTTCAAGGTATGGATCCCCACGATAAACGAAGGACTACTGTATTTCTGGTCAACATATCAGTTTCTCTACAGCCAGAAATGTTTGGTTTTGCTCATTTTTGTACAGATGAAACGAGATACAACCCAAAGAGTTTTAAAAAAGCGCTTCTTTTTCTTTATTTTTATTTTATTAACCTTTATTTAACCAGGCAAATCCCATTGACATCACAGATCTCTTTTGCAAGGGGGACCTGGGCCTCTTGATAGTTAAACCAATTTTTACTTTTTGTACCAAAAAAAACCAAAAGCTTAGTAGATTTTTGATTTAAATACGTTTCAACATTTTAAAATCTGGTTCTGTTAACAGAAAATAACAGAAAATAAACATTCATTTGGTTATTTTTCTGATGTTTATCCCGACACTTTTATTTTTTATCATTATTTACCCTTTAAATTATTCACAGATTCAATTTTAAAAGGACAAAACACGATCCATGTTGAGTTTCCACGACATCCTAGCACCAAATTTCTGACAAGCTTTCACCAACCTGCTCCGGAGCGTTGATGACTCCCGTGTTGTAACCGAACTGCAGCGAGCCGATCACCGCCGTGCCCAGGGAGAACAGCAGGTAGCCTGTTACTTGTTTTTCCTGAACGCAGAAAGAAACGAAGGAAGACAGGCTCATCACAGTTATTAAAAAAGAATTACATCGGAGTTTCTGGTGATATTTTAAATCACGGAGGCAGGCAGACAGGTGCAATAAAGTGAGACGCTGCAGGCAGAAAGGTCAGTGAGATAAATGGGAACAATTATAAACCTAAACATTTAGGAGCATTTAAATAATTAATAATGTCTGAGGCCTTTCAAAGTCAAGACCTGCAATTCCAGAGTAGCATCTTTGTGACTGATAGTTTCTATGAGTCTGTTTGACTTTCCTGAACATAATTAGTTAAATGCAAACGCAATTCAATTCCGAACTCATCCACCTGCGCCTGCAACGTGCCGGACTCACGATGATCCATCAGTTTATCTATTACATGTCGGATGTTTGATCCCTGGATCATCAACAAGCCCCAGTGAACTTTATTCAAAATGTATTTGTGTTTTTGTAGACGTGACGACGGTGTCCTTCACCTGGATGTGTTTAATTGAGGCTGAACACCAAGTAAAAGGAGTGTGTACTCTGTTTCAAGTGGCGTATCAGCTGAGGCATCAACCGGATAAGATTAGAGCGACACATGCGCACTTTGACCATGTGACTTATGTAATAATCATAAATCACCAATTCATCCATCATTTTTACCCTTACCGGTACTTACTTTACTTAACTTACAATTTAGAGTTACCAATCAGCCTAACGTATGTTTTTGGTCTGAGGAGGAAACCGGAGTACCCGGAGAAAACCCTCACATGCACGGAGAGAACATGCCAACTCCACCCAGAAAGGTTCCACGCTAGGATTTGAACCAGTGACCTTCTCGCTGAGAGGCAGCAGCTCTAGCAACTGCACCACCATGCCACATAATCATAAGTAAACATAATTACATATGATATTATTTCACAGTTTTGTTAGACAGCACGGTGGATCAGTTGGTAGAGCTGCTGCCTCTCAGCGAGCAGGTCGCCCCGGTTCAAATCCCAGCCGGGGGTCTTTCTGGATGGAGTTTGCATGTTCTCTCTGCGCATGAGAGGGTTTCTCCGGGTACTCCGGTTTCCTCCTCAGACCAAAAACATGCATGTTAGGCTGATTGGTAACTCTAAACTGTCCCTTGGTGAGAGAGAGAATGGTTGTTTGTCTCTATGTGTCCCTGTGATGGACTGGACACCTGTCCAGGGTGTCCCTCATCTCTCGCAAAGTGATGGCTGGACATGGACACCAGTGACCCCGGCCACTCGAAAAGGAATAGGCAGGTAAAGAGTATGTATGTATGTATGTGCATGCATGTGTGTGTGTGTGTGCGTGCGTGCGTGCGTGTATGTATGTATGTATGTACTGTATGTATGCATGTATGCATGTATGTACTGTATATATGTATGTACTGTATATATGTATGTACTGTATATATGTATGTACTG